TCTCTCTCTCTCTCTCTCTGTGTGTGTGTGTGTGTGTGTGTGTGTGTGTGTGTGTGTGTGTGTGTGTGTCTGTGGGCCTCGCCACACCACTCGCGAATCTCGAAAATTCGAGAGTTGGGCATCGCCACACAGCCTCGCGAAAAAAAAACCCTCGGATTTTTTTGAGAGCTATCAGAAGGCCGGTTTCGAGGGCCTTCTCGAAAAGATGTTTTCGCCCAGCCTGCAGCTTTGTGGTTTTCGTGATACCTCCCGTCGGCGCTTGAGGTCGTGCTCCGTTTCGAGAGCTGTCAGGCCGTGTTTGGAAGGTAGTGCACCGAAGGAGAAATGCCCAATCTCGAAAGCAACTCTCGAAAATGCACCATTTTCGAGAGGCGGTTGAAGCATGTATACAAGCCATCTTTGCGGTTCGGTGCATTGACAGTGAGGAAGGACAGCACGGCCTCCGCGCGCGGACATGCATCAAATTCGAGAGTTCGGCTCTGCCACACAGCACTACCGAATCGGGCCGCGGAGAGGATCCACGTTCGAGAGGAAAAATGTCGAGTGTGCTGTGTGGCGAAGGGCCCTTTCCTCTCGAAAACAGCCCTCTCGAAAAGTTCTGACAGCTATCGAAATTTTTCGAGATTCGAGAGTGGTGTGGCGAGGCCCTGTGTCTGCGCACACACACATGCTTGTGTGTGGACATCCACTCCAGCGACTCCACAGCCTTTGGGGCTTCTCACCACATACACGAAAGGCAAAAACTATGGGGATGTATTTTCCCATGTGGAAAATACATTCTCAGTTTCCACATTTGGTGAGGTGGAGCGACGCCCAATGAAGGGCACTACCGGAACTCCTGGCAGATTGTCATTGTCATCATTGCAGGACCTTTCTACACGTTTTTTTTGTTTTTTGCAGTTCTACACGGAATTGCTAAAACAAGCTTCGGAATGGTGTCACACGGTGCCACCCCCCGCCGCACCGGGCCGCACAGGTATGGGAATCAAAACCAAACTCGTGCTAGTGGGACTTGGCCCCCGTTTCTCTTACAGCCATCAGGGCTGGAGAACACAAACAGCCATCCACTTCTCTTAATATTTATACTCCGAATGTCGAAATCATGACTACTTACTCAATCAGCAAACCGAAGAGCTAGTTCCCCTTATTACTCTCCCTGCCCAAGCACTCTTACCTAACCTTCTATAAAGCAACTAGCATACACAGTATTAGACACACACACACAAGTACAAAACTTCAAAGACAATTGTCGCTGATGCCAGATATAGGCTGGTGTCAGGCCAGGTAGGCCTGTGCAAAAAAAGAAAACTTCAACGACAATTTTCGCTGATGCCAGATATAGGTGTATATATAATAGAACGACTTCAACGGTACTGGTCGGGGGCAAGGTCCCACTTCCACGAATGAAGAGATTCTGGCCGTTGATCCTTGCTATCTACGGTCAATATCGCTTAATTCGTGTAAGTGGGACCTAGCCCCGTGTGATGCCAGCCAGATAACACAAGTATATATAAAACAGCTGACGAACACCTCGTTTCCCTTCTCCCGCCCTCGCCATGCATGTCATCCTCGTTCCCTTTCTGTGGCCTGTGATAAGGGCTGTACTACTGGAAATGATAACCGCCTAGAAACATCACTTATTGTCGCTATCCATTTGATAACAGCCACTTCGTCCGTCGGGACATCCGTTATTGGAAGGATACAGAGAAAGAAGAGTAGCATGGCCCCTGCGCAATCAAGGATGACACGCATAAATCGAGAAATGGTCCACATTTTCATTGCGAAAAAAAACACCCAGCTACTTCTGCAACTGCAAATGATATACTCAGAAACCTCACATCCGATAGTAGCCGCCGGAGCGCGCCTGATAACCGAAAGTATCACTTGCCAATGATGGCAGGAGCGGCTGCGGCAGAAGCGATAACCGAAAGTATCACTTGCCAATGATGGCAGGAGCGGCTGCGGCAGAAGCGACGACAGTGGGCGGGGCAAACCTGTTTTCATTTTCAATCCGTGAAAAAGAATTCAAATCGGCGAGGCGGCAGTTCTCCAAACGAAGGCTGGACGGCGACCAGTGCGTTGGTGATGTAAGTCTCCGTGCGACCGGTCCAGTGATCGCCATTGGTCACATCGACTCGCAGCGACCTGTGAGAGTGACGAATGCCTGCCATCTACCGGCATTAGGAGGAGGAGGAGGGAGGAGGGGGGAGGAGGGAGGAGGAGGGAGGAGGTGTTGGAGGGGGTGTTCTAGTGTGGTAACGGTCGCGTACCTGGAGAGCGACCGCCCACTTCGGCAGCGTCCCCGCGAGAGTGATAGGCAGGCGGTCGCTGCGCCCAGTCTACCGGTAGCAGCCGTGGCAGCCGGCAAGGCGTCAGTTCTGGCAGCGTACAGCAGCCCTGACGACGCTAGGAAGGCACGTCGAGAGCAGCAGGGAGGTCGGGCGCGTTCGCCCATCGTTTTGTGCAGCGCCCTGAGGTGTAGGTCTGCACTGGAGCACGAATCTGGGAAACGAACGGAGAGGGGAGAGGAGAAAAGCGGAGATTCTGAAGTGGAGCAGTGGTTGGGAGCACAGGGAAGGAGGGAAAACGAGAGCGCAGAGCCTCTCCTTAGTCGCGAGAAAACCATGGCGACACGTGTCGTCCGTGTTTCTACCGAAGAAGAACAGTCGTCGTCGAAGACAGCTGAAGACCCCGCGAACGAAGCTGGGTCGGATCCGCCTACGAGGGCGGTGGCGGAATTGCAGCAGAAAGGTGACGTCAACTCAGCCACGGGCGTGGAGATCCCGAACTGGACGAAAAATCTCGAGCGAAAAGGAGGCGGGTTCTGGCCAGATGCCCGATGGTGTGCAGCTGATTCTCTCTACTCTGTGTGTGTGTGTGTGTGTGTGTGTGTGTGTGTGTGTTGTCATATTCGCTATGCAGTAAAACAAAGAATGACTGTGCCAGACTGTTTCGTCGGATTTTCACCGACTGGACGTGTGTGTGTGTGTGTGTGTGTGTGTGTGTGTGTGTGTGTGTGTGTGTGTGTGTGTCATATTTGCAGACTGATTCGTCGGACTCTCACCGACTCATCAGGAGGTTGAACCCCGGACAGAGTGTGTGTGTGTGTGTGTGTGTGTAACTCTTCTTTTTTTTTTTTGCGTAACTCACTTTTTTTTTTTTTGTGTGACTCATGTCTGTAACCCCCCCCTTTTTTTTTTTTTTTTTTTTTTTGTGTGTGTGTGTGTGTGCGCCTGGTTGTAGTACTCACATTGTGCCCTTTCGTGGATGTGCTTGACCTTACGTACTGCAAGAGTAACTCGAAACGGGCGTGACACTGTAATGTGTGTGAGTGCGCCCTTGGAAGACTGTCTCGTGCATTGTGTATTACGCGTTGTCCGAAGTTCACCCTTTCATTTCTTTCTTCTGTAACAGCTATTTCTTTTGTGGGCAGAAAAAGGCAAGGCCCTCATGTAGGCCACACCTCATTCCGCTGCGATGTTTAGTCGGAAAAAAGAAATCATAGGTAGGAAGGACTGTGTTACAACTTACAATTGTTTTCTGCTGAGTTCCCGTTTCCATATCCATCTAGCTTTTCACCGATAAACCGTAGACGCGCCCTCACATCTATTCGCACCGGAGTGACCGGAGAGATTGCACGATCTCTCTCTTCCATGCTTCTGACGTCGACAAGTGAAGAAAAAAGCGACTGAAAAATGTCAGAACTCTTCACGTGTCTTATGATCTTCCGGGGAATATCACTTAAACGAAAACAAACTGAAATCAGACTCTACAACATCCCACCATCCTCATCTCTCCCCTCTCTCTTCTCGTGCACAACAGCGCTCGTTGTGGTTATCTATCTCGATGTTCTTCCTGGGGCCAAGTCCCGATTTGAAATTCTTCTCATCCCTGTCCGTCGATCGCTGCAATCCAGGATCAGAGTTGAAGGATATTGGTACGTGGAACCTGGCCCTACCAGTCGTAGATGCTAAACCTTTTTTTTTTTTTTTTTTTTTCCCCTAACATGCTAGACATGTAGCGAGCACCTGCTGGTGGGTGCAGCTCCCGCATGCTCCCTCGTTGGAGGCTTGGGAACGGATGTGGCTGCTACGGGATTCAACGTAACAGTATGATGAATGATGTCAATAGAAAAGGCTTGAAAGGCCATCCTGTCTGGATTCGACAGGTAATTTTTTTTTTTTTTTTTTTTACAAATCAACTTTGCATTCCATTAACAGAAGAAAAAGGAGGCCGGGAATCCCTCCACAATCCAACCCGGAAAAAACAGTGACCATTACCCAGATTATGGTGCAGGCGTAGGGGATTATAGTCCATTAGCAGAAATGGCCGAATCCAGACCGCTGCTCTGACATTCCCCTACCCTGGGAAGAAAAGGGAAAAAAAAGAAACAAGTCCTCCACGGCCATAAACGCCGAACAAACCATCAAAAGGAAAAGAAAAGAACAAACGCCTCACGGCCCTAAACACCTCACAAACCTCAAAAAGGGAGGCACTATGCCTATCCCACGCTCCAACAGAACACCAAAGATAAACCACAAACAAATTCTACCAAGTACTARTACAATTCTACCAAGTACTAATATTGCCAATCAAATACTAACTACACAGCCCGAGACCTCCAAGGGCAAAGCTAACATATTCTATTTAGTTCCTCCCTACCTTTCGAACACAGCCCCTAAACTGCGGGACTGAAAGATACCTGTCAGTCCCTACCTTTCGAACACAGCCCCTAAACTGCGGGACACGAATCGGTATCTTTCAGATTCGACAGGTAATTGAATTGTTTGGGCTTCAAAAAAAAAAAGGAAAAAAAAATAATAATAATAAAAAATCCTGGCCCCTGCCTTCGGGCTTAGTTGTACCGCTGGCCATCCGCCAAGATTCTGAATTCGTGTCCTGGGGCCAAGTCCCACTAGCAGCGTTGAGCTACCTCAACGCCTGGATCTGGACGTGTTTGTGGAGACGTGCAGATCAGGAAACTCAACACCATTTCTGCACATCTCCGCAAAAGCGTCCAGATTCAGGCGCTGAGGTAGCTCAACGCTGCTCTTGGGACTTGGCCCCTGAGGTTGCCTGGAAGTCCACGGGGGTAACTGGTCACTTGACCCAGTGAAACTTTCCCGATTAGGTAAGAGAACTAAGGCAAGTAGATTTTGTGAGCCGTGTAATGGGCAACTAACTATTTCACACATAGGTTCGGAGGGCAGTTCAGTAAGTTTGTGCAAATGAGATTGAAGTTTTGAATGGATCTGAAGAGACACCATTTCCAGATGCATCTATTATCTTGCCGGATGGGGATCTGTGCAACTACCTAGGCCCTTGAGAATGCCAATCTGAGGACGTTTCGTGGGACGGTACATCATCATCGGCATCGGATGCCGTCGACCCGCCAGCGAAGACCCTTATCCATCCGTTGGGCTTCCCTCCACTACTCACCAAATGTGCAAAATGAGAATGAATCTGATGCTAGAACATGGAAAGATACACCGCCATATTCTTTTCTTTTGTGCATGTGGTGAGTGGTGGCGCGAGGCCTCTACCTTGATTCCTGAAAAATGAAGAAAAAAGGGAAAGCGAAAAGATTCAGTCGTTTTCTTGTCATCAGCAGCAAGAGAAGCCAGGGGCGAGGTCCCATCAGCAAAGAGGATCGGATTAGACGCCTGAATCTGGACATGTTTTTTATGCAAAGATGCAGAAAAGCAGATCGATCGCGATTTTCTGCACCATTTCCAGGAGTACGTCCACATTCAGGCGTCGAATCCAATCCTCTTCGCTACTAGTGCGACCTCGCCCCGGAGGAGCTGGGTCCGCCTTCATCACATGCTCATGCATGAGCACACTGCGCATGCACACGTATGAACACACTGCACATGCACACGTATGAACACACTGCACATGCACAGGTATGAAAGTGTCTGTGTCGTGCAGTGTACTGGTACGTGTGCATACCTGTGCATGTGCAGTGTGTTCATACCTGTGCACGTGCAGTGTGTTCATACCTGTGCATGTGCAGTGTGTTCATACCTGTGCAAGTGAAGTGTGTTCATACCTGTGCATTTGCAGTGTGCTCATACCTGTGCATGTGTACTGGTACGTGTGCATGTGCACAGGTATGAGCACACTGCACATGCACACTTATGAACACACTGCACGTGCACAGGTATGAACACACTGCACATGCACAGGTATGCACACACTGCACATGCACACGTACCAGTACACTGCAGGTGTACACACATGAGGACACACGATTACGCTGTGCGGGCTTGCTTCTAAATTTCGATACGTCGGACGGAAAGATCTGTCGCAGCCGCGGTTTCCATGTGCAAGTGCAGATACTTTGACGACACAGACACTACACTTCCACACCACAGAGACTGCACTTTGACGACACAGGGACTGGGAGGATCGCAGGGATGCATTGGGAGCGTTGTGTAGTGCGGCGATGCCCCGTGTGTGCTTTGCAGACTTTTCGGCACAAACTGCATACTAGAACTTCTCTCGGCTCCCTCTCCCAACACCCCCCACCCCCCCTCCCCCTCCTGGTGGAAAAGCCGGGATATCTGTGAATACGGCAACTCTTAGAGGCATGTGACCAAATATCTTTTGCTTGGTTGGATTTCCGCTGGTTATTGGCCCTCGCCACACCACTCACGAAAGGGAAAAGAAAAAATACAAGTGTATCTTTCCGCAGAATGCTACCCGTACATCACATAAGTTATCATTCATAGTAACGGGTGCATCTTGCCATTTTCCTTGGAGAGATGCACTCATATATTTTTCGTTTCGTTAGTGGCGTGGCTAGGCCCTCTGTATGGGGGAAGGAATATGAACACGTAAGCCCTTCCGGACATCCGTTAGAATTGTCCTTGGGGACATCCGATTAAAATTGGAACGATACAGAGAAAGAAAAGATTAGCACGGCCCCTGCGCAACAATGGCACGCATAAATTGAGAAATGGTCCAAAAAAAAAAAAAAAAAAAAAAAAAAAAAAAAAAAACACGAAAAAACGTTAAAATTGGAAGGATGAGCTTTACTGTTTCCCAAAAACAAACAAAAAAAGGATTCAGAAGATCGGCATGAGCCTTGAGCGATCAAGGATGACACGCAGGCGGAATTGACAAGTGGTCCAAACTTTTCAGAAGCAAAAAGGTGTGTATCTAGACTGAAATGTGCACGAAATTCGGCTATATAATGGCCAAGCGTTTTCTAGTCGGGTGAGAACAGCAGGCATCTGGCCCAATCAACCACTGGCAGGCACAAAAATCAAAAGGGGGAATAATTGTGGGACTCCTTTTTACTTTTAAGGAAATTTTCTTGTCGGCGTGTGCATCTTGGGAGGATGGCTACCACGAGAACCGACCAGAGAGGAAAAGCCAGTGCCAAAAGGGCAGCGAGACTGAGCCTGCCTTCTTCATAAATAGACTACCTAGCTTCCATTTCATGCGGTTGGGTTTTCTGATGGCCACGGCCATCATGGGATGGATGGATGGATG